GTCATCGATTTTTTTTTCCTGTAAGCTTGTAGAAAAACTTGAACGGTGAACTGACAGTGGACCGTTTTTAGGCCCAGCTCCTAGATATTCCAAACATTTCTTTAATTCAGATGTGCATAACTGGTTAATACTGGTAATGAAGTTCATGGACTTTGGATGTGGCTTTAGGGTAGTGCATTTTTTTTTTATTTGTCAAAGCATTCGTTTTGCATTTCCAGTGTCCTGCGCGTGCTGTATGCACTGTACCGGATGTGTATGGAGGAAATAAGAGGTCATGCCCTGACCCATTCACGTGATTCAAAATTGGGGCTGGAAATTGTGAGGATGTTTCTTGATTTCAGGATTTTTCAAGAAAACTCTTCTCAATTCCATAAAAGCTGATATGGAGCACCAAAAAAAAAAAAACCCACAAATGTGTACCATTCACCCTACACTGCCGTGGGGCCCTCAAACCTCTGGTAATTATGTGGGGATAGTTAATTTTCTGCCAGTCTCACCCTTGTGAAATGTAAGTTTTACACTTCAGTGGCTGTCTGCATGGGACTTTTTCTGCGACATAAAACTTCTGAGACTCGGTAGGCCTGGTGGTATTTCCACCGTGGAAAGTACACTACCCGTGTTCAACATTTGAGAATTATGACATATGACCAGCTGTCTGCATTGGATTTAATTTTGTCAAATTGGCAACAGTCTCTGCGCACTTTATTAAAAGCAACTCAACTTATGCTAATTCATGCACTTTGGTGTGAAAAGGTGAGTAATATTCAGTAGCTTGAACTCGTCATTTTGTTGGAACAGATATGCCAAACCCTCTACCAAGCACAGTTGTCTTTTGATATTTAACTATGGAGCTCAGGTTAGGAGCCAAATGAAGGTGTGTAAATGCCACATTCTCAGTCCGTGTTCAGAATACAAGAGAAAGGGAGAAACAGTCGGCCTCTTCATTTCACCGTTCTTGTTTTCATTGATGTCAGTGAACAGTATAGAAAGAAGAATAACTGGTGTGTGCAGGGATTGGTTGGTGTGTATTAACACTATGGGAACTATTATCCCACAGTAGTTGCAGGAGAACAGCGCCCCCGGTGTGCTCTACACTCCACAAGCCCATGGGGTAGTGCGGTATGTTTGGGTTATCAAACCTTGATTTCAATCCAGAAAAAAAAAAAAAAAAAGAAAAAAGGAAAAAGAAAAAAAACAAACGAAACTGTCATCCAGAATCCAGGGTTTGTCAAAGACCAACAGATCAGCGTTCCTCCCGAATGCTGTGAAAATGACTTCACACTGGTTTTAACTGTTTTATTGATTACTCCAAGAGGTTGAATACCTAAGCTCCATTTCTGGTTTCCAAGATGTTGCCTGATGACTTGGGAGGAGTACCGCACGTCTGCAGACTGTATTTTTAAGTGGAAACATTTGGTAACGGAGAAGTAGCCTATGGCGTGCTGGTAACTTGTGCACGGTAATCTCTGTCAGTTTCCTTTGGCTTCCCTTTTAATCGACTCCAACCGGGACTGACTTGCAAGGAAAGAAGACCTTTTTTTTACAAACGTTATCCCATCATGGAAAAAAAAGGATGGCCATTGAAGTTGACAGAAGTTACAATTCGAGCCTTAGGCGTGACTTATGAAATTAAGTGTGAGCCCTAACCAAACCACGGCATTGCCTCCCGGGCAGATGCAGGAGGAGAGTGAGGACTGTTGCGGTGGCCTCTGTTGCCACGGTGCCTGTTGCTATGGAGAGTGATGCTGATGGATGAGTGTCGTCTGCTAAGGTGATATCCGAGATGTGGGAATGGCATGTGGTGAAGGCTGTGCCATGAGGTTAGAAAGAGGGTGTGTCAGTGGTTACCTTAGCCAGACGTCACTGAAGACCATTCCAAGTTTTCACTGATTGTGTCATCACCGCTGTGAGTGCACACCTATGCTGTCTGTGCTGGGGACTAGACTTTCCAGTGAACTAAAGAAAAAAGAAAACAGGTTCCCTTTGGTGTATCTTTTGTTTACTTTTATCCTGTCTTTTGCCTGTTCTGTTTACTTTGGGAAAACTTGGAATGGGTCTTGAATGCTGCATGTGAGATGGGTGGCAATGCGTGGTTTGGTTAATGCACATTCTTGTTTGTTTCACTCTCAGAGGAAAACCATCTGCAACTACTGACTTCATGAATTGCCAGTTTTGCTATGTTTAAAATTCTAGGCAGATTTCAAAACTCCAAACAAGTGATGAAATATACTCCATTTCAAGTTAAGTCCCTGAAAAAAATCCATAATAAGGCCGTGATGCTCGTGGGATCATCATACATCAAAATCAAGTCCTTGGTGCTTATAATTATAACTAAACCAACCCTAATTCCGAACACAATTGTTGTTTTGTGAGACAGGGACTCTACCTGAAAGTCAGTCAACACAACCTTCCGTTGCCACGAATATCTATTGAGCAAATGTTAGGATTTGTTAATAAATTATGCCTTTTGGAACTGCATACATTTAAATTGTCGAGAATGAAACCCAACTATCAATGCTGTGACGGGATGTTTCGTGCTACAGCAAAATACTGGCAATTCTGTGGAACAAAGTGAAACCAGTCAATGAGGTAACCTTTGTGTGCCTGTGAATTGGCACTTACCTGCTGCAAAACTGTGGAATTAGAAAAAGACGCCGTTGAATTTACTTAAAAACTGAGCTGGATCAAACATGTTGCTCAGGCTTTAGAAGCACGTCAAATGGGACAATGATATCCCTGGAAAATGTGGTGAGAAGAGCGTTAGCTCCAAGTCACCATGACCGTATATATATCTGGCTAGGATTTTTTTTCTTTTCCTCACCCATTTGAGACGAAACACAAAAAGGTAAAGTAACTCTAGATGTGGGCGCCAAACTATGTCTCACCTCCATATGTCGCAAACATGCAGAATCATCTTGACCAGACCAGACTGTGAAGACGGGGGGTATATTTTTTCATGACTGACAGGGGCAAGTATCAGAAATAGAAGTCGATGGTGTTTGCGATGCAGTGATCATGTCACCACCTGCTGAATATATTTACTTGATGATGGCAGGTTGAACCCATGCAAATGCTCTGCAAACTGACATTGATACTTTTTTAACCTTTCCGGTGATATCTTTTGAGCTAACAATTCGTTAAACTGACTAGTTTTGATGTGCAATTTTTTTTTTGGCCAAGGACACAGCTAAAAAAAGGCAACCTAAAATACACACCCCATTAAACGAGTATTTTGCCATGGTAAAGATAAGTTATTTTGTGGAGGAACGCATTTTTTAAAAATCGAACTCGTTTCTGGAGTCTGGAAAGTTTCAGAAATTGTAAAACATGAATAATCTTTATGAAGAATATTCAACTTCTTTTAGAGTTGATCCCAAAAGAATTTCTGAACTGTGTGGTGGGGGCATTGTAACCATTAGAAAAAAATACACTAATTGCAGTTTTGCGGACAGTTGTCGAGTTCCAGTCTGCTGGAAACGTAGTTGACATATAGTCTTAGTTGCAGATGGATGTGTACGTTAATGTATCAACAAGTGACCACCCTGGAATGGTCGATGTGCGGTACTTCTCACAAGCTCAGAAATCAGGCGGACAATCGTTGCATGTTTCTGATGGGATTTGAAACGGAACAGAAGTGATAAAAAGATAATGATGGTTTAACAGGCTTGACTAAAACTGGCAGAGAAGAGTGCACATTTCAACAAACAAAGTGAAAGTAAAAACCATGCGTAGAGTTCACTTGCAAGTGACGAAGAACAAAGCTTAACCTGTGGATGCGGTCAACAGCAAAAGTTTCGAGTGGACAAACCCCGACTGCAACATCCCAAACCAGGGTCAGTCTCGCATATAGTTGACCCTAATAGCCTGAACCCTTTTACCGTTGTGAAATGTGCTGTCTCTCCTCACCAGCAGTTGTGAATGAACCGTTTCGCTGTCCACCCTTGTGAGCAGTTCGTTTTCAGATCTCATCCAGTAACAGCAGGAGTACTCTCCATCACAGAAACGGACATTTCTGTTGGACTCTCAGACTTCGATGATAAAACGTTTAATAATAAGAAACACAGCACAATTGTCAGTGAAATACCTTTAGTGACAAAGATGGTCTTTATTTCTCAATGTTCTTATGTTTGTGGAGCCTAGAAACTTTCAGGTTTGTTTTGCGTGTCGCACCTGTCTTGCTGAGCAGCAGCAAAGTCGTCTTTTTTTCATGACTGAAAGATTTCGCTCATCGATGGATGGGGTGCTAGACATTTGAATTTACGCCTCCCATGAACAAAAATGATTTTAACCCTGGCAGTGACATAAAGATCCATTGTTATTACTGTCGTCTTTTCACCATGTAGACCTGAGATCATGTGACTCCACTCAGGCGTGACTCATCTCACTGGTAACATTTCAGAAGCAAAGATCATTGTGTCTCGACCCCTTTACATGTTAACTGTGAAACACTGTCAGGGTTACACGTTTTTTTTAGGAGGCACTTTTTCTCTCTATCAACAAATACATTTTGTCCTCTCTCCCCAAAATTTTCATCATGTTGATACATGCGCCGTCACTCATTTTCAGTCATTGAATGTTCACTTTTTTACAGTGGGGGGGGGGAAAGCATTGAAACCTGAAAGTCTTCTACTGAGCGAGACAAGAAATGTGTTTTTGTTGGCCAGATAATTTGTAGCCCGTTTTAAAGACCCCTCCTTGCACAAGGGCACTTCGTTTGCAGTTTGTTTGAAATGAAAACGTACAAGTTGGTGTCATCGGGAGGTTTTGCTTAAGTTTTATTGTCAACAAATGAAAAAGGAAGTTGGGTTGGGAAAAAAGAATACACAGCATCATTTCTGAAGCTCCAACGCAGGAGCAAACGATGCAGCCATTGTGCGAGGAGTGGAATTTCGTTCACCCTTTTGCTTGTAGCTTTCTCATTGTTGAGCTTTTGTGAGTGTCAGCTGAGGTTTGGGTTTGTGGCTTTCTGCTCACGTGTTTGGGACCCATCTTCCCATCAGGGATTCCCTCATTCTGGCCGGTGTCAACTGTGGCACGAGTATCCTGGCAGGCTTCGTCATCTTCTCGGTGATTGGGTTCATGGCTGAAGACATGCAGCTGCCGTTGGCCAACGTCACGGACAATGGTAGGTTTGGGTCTAGCATCCAACCCCCATCCCCTCCACCCGAATCCAACTGGAGCATCCCCCCTCAGGCATTACTGTCCTGACATTTCACCCCTTCTTTCTCCGCATTTCCTTCTTCAACCCCCCCCCCCCGCACCCCTTTATACGATTAACACTACCCCTAGTCTCACTCTGATCTAACCCCCCAGCACCTCAATTCTGACACCCCACCAAATCACTTGGACCCAATTTGCCTTGTTCCAAAGCCTGTGGTCAATCGTGTCTAAATTACTTGGCTGAGGTTCATAATTGCATACAACTTTATGGGAAGTGGCTATGACTATTACCATAAACTCGTCTCGTGTGTAATGTCAAGCCGCAGTCATTTCAGCCATGGCCTTTTGAGCTATTTTCACATCCACATCCTGGGGAAAGTGCCAGTGACGACTGGTTGATTCTTCCCACTGGTGACTTCTGCGCAGAGTCCATCCTGGGCACCTGGCAAAATTGACCAGTGGTTGACCACCCTTCGGATCGTGGCCCCAGCTGATTATCCTCATTCAACTTCTGTTTTTTTTAATGGCTTGATCTCCCTACTCCACTTTCTTGTAACCCCTTACCCATGGTCTTCACACCAGAGGTGGCAGCAAGTCATATTTTACAAGTCAAGTCGCTAGTCATTATGTGCAAGTCCAAGTCGAGTCACAAGTCATTAGGTCCAGTCACAAGTCAAGTCGCAAGTCAGTTGGTAACGGGGCAAGTCAAGTCATTTGGTCTAAACACAAGTCAAGCCACAAGTCTCTTTGTCCAAGTACAAGTCAAGCTTGCACATTATTTTGTCCAGCTGTAATAAGCAAAAAGAACCAGATGTCAACTTACAAAGTTACCAGGTACGAGTTATAGAAATGTATGGGGCTTGTCAAGTAGCATCTGACTTGGGTCGGTAACAAGTCATTTTTTGCAAATGCAAGTCAAGTCACAAGTCAAAGCTGGTACTTACAAGTCAAGTCACAAGTCACAAAAATAGCGACTCGAGTCCAAGTCACATGACTTGAGTCACCAACTCTGCTTCACACCATGTTCATCACTGTCAGTGTACCCTGTAACTCTGCCCGATGCCCAGCCGCTTGATCTCCATGATTAAAAACATCTGGATAGACCTTTGGCTGTTACATTTGAAGACACTGTCCTCTGTACTGCAACTCATTGAGTAACTGATTTGTTGCGATTTTTTTTTAGTGTTGAGACTGGTTTCTTCTGGTGATGGGCCATTCTGTAAATTTGGGATCTGAAGTGTGACATTTTTCTGTCACCATTACACCCAGCCTCTGTAATTTGACGCGATGTATCATTGAAATTCATTTCAAACTATCTGTATTTGGCAGGTGGTTTGGATTTAATCACGCTTTGAAATTGAAGAATGTGTTCTCAACTATACACCACACCAGACACGACAAGGACACAAACAATGTTTCTCAGTACCAGCCTTTCTCCCTGCCAAACTTCCTCTGAAATCAGTACCGTCTTGAAGGCTAACGCTCTTGAAATTATTAAAATAGAAATACTTCAGCATTTTGATATGTAGTTTGACGTTGCAGTCAGACACCTTTATAACAAGATTGTTGGGACATAATAGGTTACCTTGATATAGTGGGGATTGTTATCAGTTCTGGAAAACAAAAAAAGGACTTAAGGACCTGAAATTAATCGTGATATAAGTAAGATGTTGTCAATAACTCTATAACTCAATAACAAACAATAACTCTCATTATCAATCTTTGACTATATGACTTTTTGTTGGCTAACAACTTCAAAGTCAAGGGTGTTTACTTCTGGCAAAGTTGAAGACGGAGACAAAGCCGAGTATTTGAAACCCTGACAGCTCCAAATGGCCGCCCAGTCTCATCCACTGTTTCTGTACGGGGATCACAGGCCCCCCCTCGCCACGTACGTTCACTTGAATTCTGTTGGTAATTTGCCACCCTGTCATGCAGGTCCTGGCCTCGCCTTTGTGGCCTACCCAGAAGCCCTGGCCAGGATGCCCATTGCCCCACTCTGGTCCGTGCTCTTCTTCTTCATGTTGTTCACCCTTGGTCTGGATAGCCAGGTACGTCACCTGCAGCATTTGTTGCAGTGGTAAACCCTGCACAGTGACGCATTGAGGTCTTTCACAGATTTAACCACTTGCCGCCGGGTAAAACAGTCCCTTGAATCACAAGCTGCCGGGCGGTGCTTTATGATTTTGACTTTAACATTCGTATTCACCTTACTTGTCACCATTGTTATGTATTATGGAGTAACATAACGGCTTCTTTGTTTGCCTTCAGCCCCCAGGAATGACAAACAATGGGCAGGCTGGACGATGCTTTCGTCGGCCCGGCTGGCTTAGAGCGCTGTGGTCCTTCATGCCACTATACTTCACAATACCATTACAGCCTATGGTGACTCATAGCAGTCATTCCTGTTCCCAACTTATGCTGCCCGGCTGTGTGAATTAGAAGAATGGGTCCGCATTCGGGGACACCCGGCTCTAAGTTGTTATGCAAGAGCGAGTGCGAAGTTATCACCACGTAGGATTAATAGGGGATCGACGTGTTGAACGATTGTGAATTTGCCTTGGGGCATTGACACTTTGTGCCATATATTAACTGGCCTTTAATAACTCCATGATCCTTCATAACAGACAGCTAGCAGAGGTTTCTTCAGAGCTAGAATATTCAAGAGCACAGTTGCATTGCTTTGGGGGTACATGTGATTGGGTGGTAGTTCAGTGCAATTGGGTCATGCATTTTGAAGTAGAGGTGTGCAATAGACTGCAGTACTAGAGACCAATTTTCAGCTAAAGGTGATACATCCCAACTATGGCGGGTCTGTGACAGACTGAACTGTAGGTGGGACAGTGCTCTAGTTGGGGTGTAACATGTACAAATGTCGTTTGCATTTATAGAGGAGTGTGTGGCCCAGTAAGGCGGAAATGATTAAATATGCCCTCAACTTCCAGCAACTGTCTGCATTTGTAACCAGCAAGGGTGGGATCATGCCGAGAGCTGAATTACAAGGCTGAAACGTTTTTAAAGTTAAAATTAAATTGCCAAAAACATTTCTGACAAAGAGCTTGATGCTGCTTATTGCTATGCACATAAACAACGATGAATCAGCTAAGAACAGAAAATTTAGTCCAGCAAAATCCACAAAAATTCAGGACTTTTTTGTGTACATGTACAAACCAATGTAACATTGGGGCTTTCTTCCTGGGATGACAATTTTGCTCATGAATAGGGAAAGGTACATTTTGAAGGTTTGTATTAAAACAACATGATTGCAGCGACCCTTTATTTAGTATCCTCCCTCCTTGCTGGTTCTCCCCTCCTCTCCCCAGTTTGTCATGATGGAGACTGTCATCACTGCCGTCTGCGACGAGCTCCAGAGCTTCTTCCCAAGAATCTTCAAGTTCAAGACCTGGATCACCCTGATCACCTGCTTCATCTGTTTCCTGCTAGCCTTGCCAATGGTCACAAACGTAAGATAGAGAGGTCAAAACAATCCATCGCCAACCATGTAAAATTCCCTGTCTACTTCAGCAGACAGGGTCAAGGACTTGACCCTGAAATAACCTCTCGGATAAGAGAATAGCCTAGCCGTCCAACTGAAGCCATGTGCAAGTGACTTGGCTGCAGCTGGACACTGTACATGTTAAGGAAAATGGACGAACCATGGACGTCATATAAAAAAGATCTGGACTCGTGGTCGCAGTGGTTGAAGCCGCTGGTGGCCATATTACCCTGTCAAATACAAAGGCTGCTGGCCATTATGAACTAAATTTATGAGTGGCATCAGTAGTTACAGTGCCAAGCAAGCCAACCATCGCCTTTGTATTTGGTATAGTAAAATGGCCACAGATGGCTTCAGGTGGTACAATGACATTGGGAGTCCAGCTTTTTCATATGATGTCTGTGGGATGAACCTGCCAGCCTGTGGCTTCCATGTGTAATTTGTAGCATAGTCCGAATGGAGCAAAAGTCCACTTTATGACCCCAACATGACCTCTGGGCTCAAACATAACTCACCAACTGCAAGCATGCCGAGTTGAGTTCAAGACCTTCAAACTATTGTTACCGTGACAGTTTGCCCGTGCATTATTTGCTCCTATTCTGCAGGGAGGCATTTACATCTTCTCTTTGATGGAGACGTACTCGGCCGGCTTCTCTATCCTGACCATTGGATTTGTGGAATGTGTTGTCATTGCCTACGTGTATGGTGAGTCCTTCGACAGCAGATTGGTCTGCCGTGATGTCCGTTATTTTTTTTTCTACTGTAGAGGGTTGAAGCAAAGATCAAAAGCATTTATCCCATTCCGACGCTGGCGCACAGGAGGAACGGGCCAATTGTTCTTAATTCTCCCCCCAAATACTCCTGTGTTCGCACGGGCCCCGTTCAGAACACAGGATTACACCCGAAACTGCGTAACAATAGCTCAAGGAAACTGTCACGCTTGATGCCCTCCTGACGTCAGTACAATAGATCTGTGTGGCAATGACGATGGGCAGTTCTGCTGCTGCGGGCTTGAATGCATGAGGGGAATGGGTAAATGACATCACAAAGGATGCATACAATGGAACTTATAATGAGCTCTGGTCATTCCCTTGGCACTCGCCTAAGACGGGAGTTCTACCGCAGGAGAACAGGCTTATTGTTGAATTTCTTTAATCCCTGTGCAGAGCAAGAGGAACGTGGCTGAGCGCGTCAAAACGGGAAAATATTTTTGAAATTTACCCTTATTTTACACATGGGCCATTTTCATAACAGAACAGTTGACCCATTCAACCCACTGTATTACTTTCAGCCAAAGTTTTGGCACTGTGTCCTCTGTTAGAACTAGGAGATTAGAAATTGTAGGAATTAGAGGACATTTCAAGGTTCATGTGTTGAGAAATAGGGATGTGATTTGTTTTGTTGTTCATAAGCAGTGGGAAGAGGTAAGGTTGAAAAGATTAAAAATGCATTTAGAGAAGTAAATCAGGTCACATTGATTCTGCTGAGTTCATCTGTTACATTGAAACTTGGAAGTGGACTTTGAGACAGTTACAGCCAGGTACATTTGCAGTTTGATGCTACAATCCAGACGTACATTAATGGGAATGTGATTTCTTTAAAAACCAAGCTGAAATGAGGAATACAATGTATCTAACAGGAGCTCGTCATCCTGTGTTCCGTTGTTTTTGTCTGCAATTTTGTTGGGTGAATTAGAAACTTATTGAGAGAAAGTCCATTGACTCCATGGATCATCTGATGTTCACGTACTTGGGATATGGCACTTGTGTTTACGGTGCACCTCTGAGGACTTGCGGGTATTTCTCAGGACCTATGAGCACCACAGGGCAAATGTGTGCACTTCTGAGGACCTGTATGCCCCTCTGAGGACCTAATTACAACTTTTCAATGACAGTGAAGTTGATCAAATGGACCCCCCATTGTTTGCTCTTTCTAGGATCCAAACGTTTCCTGAAGGACATGAAAGTCATGCTAGGTTTCCAGCTCAACATCTACTGGAGGATTTGCTGGATGCTATTATCACCTGCCATCATCACGGTCAGTCATTTCACTCAGAAAAAAAAATCAGAACGAAAGTGCCAGAACTGCACAGGTCACAGTGAGCCACGCCTCAAGCCCGAGCGATCACCCCACATGATTGCAGGCTTAGCTTTCCTTCAGACAAGCAGATTCTTTGTTTGCTTTGTTCCACATATTGCTGTTGCAATTTTGAGAACACAGTGTGGAGTCTTATGCTGCTTGGAGAATTTTTTTGTTCCAGTTGGGAATGTAAAAATGCGTGGGACTTTGTGGTTGACAAATAGGATACCAACTGCTTTTGCTTGGATGGTATTGTTGGTTGTGCAACTGTTGAGTATTCTAATGGTCTGTGGCTGAAATTGCATTTCTACAGATTTTCTGTTATAAAGTCTACAATTCAGATGATAAGAATAACAGGGCAGTTACTTGAGATTGTTGGATGATTGCAAATCTTTCTGTAGTCAATGTTTCGTCTTGAATTTTAATCCATCCCCAATTGACTGTCATGTTAGATTTTTTCCTCTTGACGTCCACAGTTTATCTTCATCTTTTGGGCCATCACCTATACCTCCTTGACATACTATGAGTACACCTACCCGCTGTGGGCGGAGTGCTTGGGCTGGCTGATGATCATGGCAGGTGTGGTGTTCATGCCGGCCTACGCCATCTACTACATGATCATCTACGGCAAGGGGACCATCCAAGAGGTAAAGCTAATGGACTTTGTGAACCGGTCTGCCGCACTGGTATATCCGGGGCCTTGGCTGCATTTGCCTGGGCTGGCCAATGTGGTGTTCATGGCGGGTTAAAAATCACTACTGTCGCT